CGCGAGCGGCGAACGTTCGTGTATCCACGCCCTGGCGCGATCCCGCAGCTGCGCGGTCGCACTGATACGTTCCGCGCGGGGCATCTGCGAAAAGATGCCCCGCGTCCGCGGGGTTGAGGCCCAGGGGCCTGGCTCGCGAGGCCATGGATACGGATCTGTTTTCGCCCACGACCGCAAGCTCAGAGGACGAACATACACCGATACCGGTGCCCATCCCTCGTCGCCACGGCTGGGTTCGCCTCGACATGTGAGTCAGAATGCATTTGCTCCCATTGCTCATCTTCGTCGCCGTCCTCGTTGTCGTCGACGTCCTCCTCCTCCTCCTCCTCCTACTACTACTACTACTACTACTCCTCCGCCTCCTCCTCCTCCTCCTCCGCCTCCTCCTCCTCCTCCTCCTCCTCCTCCTCCTTCGCCCACCTCCCCCTTCACCCCCGCCCCTCGTCCCGATGTGGAAAATCCGGGCGGCAAGTTGTTGGCCGTCCTCGGCCGCTAGAAACCCTCGCGGGGGCCCCGGGCAGTCAAAAAACGCGACTCGGGACGAAGAAGTCAGTCCCTGGGGGGAGGGTCCATGTCCTCGGAGGATCACGAGGCCAGGGGTCTCGGTCCCTTTCCTTGGCGAGCGAACAACTCACACCCATACCCACAGGAGGGTCGAAAGCAAGGGAACTGGCTATGGGTATGGGCGCGAGTTGTCGGACCCTGGGGGGAGCTCCCGTTCGAGCGGGGACCCCCACCCGACAACACGCACCCATAGCCTCCTCCGTCCCCCCTATGGGTCGGAGGCGCTGGGAGAACCAGTTGCGTGAGCTGTTCGCTGTCCCCCCGCCCGACCCAACAGCATTCTCCTGGCATCCCTCGGACGTGTGTTTTTTTTCTCGGCGGGAACCATCGAGGACCATCCTGGACCATCGAGCAAAACAAAAACACGCGCGAAACTGAGACATGCACGCGAAATGGACGTCCGAGCGATGGCAAGTTCTCCACCTCTGCGAAGAACAGTCTGCACGAACATGCGCCGTCCAAGGTCCGCGCCCAGCCTCAGGATCGGCTGTGGGCCCTCCTGGCCTCCAGCGCGCCGTGCGCAGGGAGGGAGGCGAGCCCCGCGCCGACCGATGACGGGTCTGCGAGCCGTTTCCAGAGGTCGGTGTCTACGAGCCGTTTCCACCCATCTCGTGGTGCTGGGTCCTCGTTTTGGAGCAGGAACAACCCCGCTTCTCCTGCCGTCCTGCCTCCTCCCCATCCCCTCCTCCCTCTGCACATGTCGACCCCGAGGGGAAGGGTCGCGTGGCGCGGCAGCGTCCATTTCGGCACACCGCCCACGAGAAAGGGCAGGATCTCAACGGGACGGGTCAGACCCCAACAGACAGGGTCAGACCCCAACGGGTAATGTCAGTTTGTGATTAACAAATGACTGGACCCCCCCACCCCAGGGCTGATGAATAGACCCCGCGGGGCGCGAAACTTTCCTCTTAGTCACGCGCGCCAGGGGGTCGTCGCTGGCGCCGCCGAGGGGATCGTGTACCTGCATGACAGCCTCAAAACGCTTGCCTTTCGTATAGAAGTTGTTACAGGGGCCTTGGCCACGCCCCCTTTCGTCCAGCCCGCCTTGCTCGCGGGCCCGGCAGGCAGCTGGCGTCCCCCTGGCTGCGGCCAGGGCGGAGGAAGTGCATCGGTTCGACAGGAAGAAGCACGGAAAGTGCGGGGGCGAGCGCCGACAGCAGATCTTCTTCATTTCAAACATGTCTCGCCCTGGTTCACGGTCCCTGCTTCTGCCGCCTCTGCCTCCCGCCCCCCTCCCCTCCCACAGATTGCTGTCTGTCGCCTTTTCGTTGGCGGCCGGGCGTCGGCGTTAATCAACGGCGCCGCCCCGTTGATTTTCAATCTGGCGGGCGCCATCTCGAAATTCGCCCGAGCAGGGGAACTATGTTTTAAAATACGCCCACCCACACGGATTTGTTAATCACGATGTGACATTACGGAAACCAGACCGGTTCAGATCCCAACGAATTTAATCTAAATTTCCAAGCGTTTTCCTATACTGCGCCTCGTGAGCGCTTGCTCGGTTCCGTGAGCGAATCGTGAGGAGTCCTCGTAGGCTTCCTGAGGACGCCTGGGGATTCCACAGGATCCTTGATGGATGTTTTGGATTTGTGCAGGAATCCTGTTGGATCCCTAACGGATCTTTGAAAGAACCTTGAAGGAGTTCTGAGGGTTTCTTCCGGATTCTGGAGGGGTCAATGTTTTGGAGGATTCTGGAAGTTCCCGCAGGGCCCCTGAGGATCCCAGAAGGATTTCGTGCGACTTACGGAGGAATTCTTGCAAGTGTCGTGAAGGATTCCAGAAAGATTCGTAAGGACTCCTGGCGCGTTCTTGATGGAGTCGCGATGGATTCTTGAAGGATTCTGGAATACATGTTGCGAGGTTTCCTGAAATATTGCTGCGGGTTCTGCAGGATTCTTGTAGGATTCCTTGAATTCCGCCTCCGGGGCCGCATGATCAATCTGAAGAAACTTTGGAGTGCCTTGCGCCTACATGGGGATGTTTTGGATCATCGCGCACCCCCTTATCATAGGGCTGCGGAGCGGTAGAGATCCCAACGTCACACGCTGAACACCGAGTGAATTATTTCCCTTACGGAAAACCAGTCGGTTGTCACTGCCGAGTTAACTCTTCAATAACAAGTTGAAGCAGTTGTTTTTCCGCCCATTGGGATTTGAACCGTTCCAGTACTTTGACCCGTTGGAATATGACCAAGTTTGTTGGGATCTAACCCGTCCCGTCGGGATCTGACACCCTCGCCACCCCTCATACGCTTCGTGGCGGCATAAGAGCCCAAGCGAATGCTCCAGTGGGAGGGTTCGAATGGCGCCGCCGCGCCCATGTCGGTAGACCCGTCGGACGCGTTGTGGCCCCATTGTGAGCTTCATCGAAGGTCCCAGTGAGACGGTTCCCGTGGCACCGCCGCGCCCATTTCGGCGCACCCCTCACACGCTTCGTGGCCCTGTAGGGAGCTCCCCCGAAGGGCCCATCTGGAGGGATCCCATGACCCCGCCGGACCCCGCCGCACATCCTTCAATCGTTTCGTGGCCCCATAGCTCCACCGAAGACCCCAGTGGGCGGGTTCTCACGCTGCCGCACCCATTTCGGCACACCCCTCTCACATTTTGTGGCCCCATGCCCCATAAGGAGCTCCACAGGAGGCCCCAATGGGAGGGTTCGCGCGACGCTGCCGGGCCGCGCAAATTGCGGCACGTTCCTCACACCTCTCGTGACCCATAGTGAGCCCCACCGAAGGCGAGTCAGTCTGAGTATGCGTGATTCTGGGTATGAGTGAGTCTGTCTATGTGTGAGTCTGAAGATGCGTGAGTCACAGAGTGAATAACTCCGAGTGCGAGTGGGAAATGAGTGCGAATGAGTTTGCGTGTGGGCAAGTTAGAATACGAGTGAGTGTGAGTCTAAGTATGAGCGAGTCTGAGCAAGTCAGAGTAGCTCTGGGTGAAGAAAAAGGCGGAAGAGGAGAAGGTGAGGAAGAGGTTGTTATAGCCGTCGAAGTAATGACAAACACCCCATCTTAGGATATGGGAAAGAGCGTGTTCTACCGCTGCTGGCGGAAAACCGGGGGGATCACTACCGGTTCGAACCCCTCCCCCCCCCCCCTCCGGAAAACCGGGGGGGGTCACTACCGGTTCGAACCCCTCCCCCCCCCCCAGCTCATCATGAAAAGGGGGGGGGGTCACTACCGGTTCGACCCCTCCCCCCCCCCCCCCCCTCGAAAACCGGGGGGGGTCACTACCGGTTCGAACCCCCCCCCCCCTCGAAAACCGAGTGGGGGTGCGGACAGTGGTGGGGACGGTGTTGGTGGGGACAGTGGTGAGGGGATAGCGGGACAGTGGTGGGGACAGTGGGACAGTGGGACAGTGGTGGGGACGGTAGTGGTGGGGACAGTGGTGGGGACAATGGTGGGAACAGGGGGGGACAGTGGACAGTGGTGGTGACGGTGGTGGTGGGGACAGTGGTGTGGGGACAATGGGAATGAGGTGGAAACAGTGGGACAGTGGAGGGTACAATGGTGGTGGGGACAGTGGTGAAGGCGGTGGCGAGGACGGCGGTGGGACAATGGGACAGAGGTACAGTGGGGACAGTGGTGGGGACAGTGGGGACAGTGGTGGGAACAGTGGGACAGCTCAGTGGGACAGCGGAGGAGTCAGTGGGACAGTGGGGACAGTGGGGATAGTCGGGCAGTGGTTGGGGCCGTGGAGACAGTGGGGAGAGTGGAACCGTGGTGGGAACAGTTCTGGGGACAGCGGGGACAGTGCGACAGTGGTGGGGGCACTGGTGGGGACAGTAGGGGCGGTGGTGGAACCAGTGGGGACAGTGGTGGTGAGGACAGTGGTGCTGGGAACACCAGTGGGGGATGTGATGCGGACGGTGGTGGGGACCGGGAGTCGTTTGCTGGCGGTGAGTAGGGGGGGGGGGGGGGGGGGGGTTCGAACCGGTAGTGACCCCCTCCGGTTTTCCGGATCCGGAGGGTAAGGGGGGGGGCGGGGGAGGGGTTCGAACCGGTAGTGACCCCCCTGGTTTTCCGGATCCGGAGAGGGGGTGGGGGGCGGGAGGGGTCCCCCGGCTTTCGAGCGGGAGGGGGGGGGGGGATTAGGGGAGGGGGGGGGTTTTGCCGGGGGAGAGGGGGGGGGGGGGGGAGGGGTTCCAGCAGGGGGGGGGGGGATTTTCGGAGAGGGGGGGGGGGGGCGACCCCCGGGCTTCGGAGGAAAAGGTTGGCAGTTGGCAATTTTCCACAGTAAAGCGGCGGTGGATCACGCTCTCTCGGATATGCGGAACATCCGCACCGCGGAACCCCAACTCAGCGACGCACCCAGGGACAGTGTAAGTCCGCTCGGCCCCTTCACCCCCATCATATCAAGGCTTCTTATTTGAAGTATCCACAGCAACCCTCCGCGCATTCCCCAATCAGTGCTGCATTATCGTGCATCCCGCTTCCTGCCCTGTTCGCTGCTCCACCGTCGCTCCTCTCCCTGCGTGGGTCGCTCCCTTCTGCGCCCAGTCTTCCCTGCTCCTACTCCTCCGCCTCTCACGCTAGCTAGACCCGTCCGTCCGCCCACGCCTGGAGGCCCAACGGGGTCAAGAACGTTCCGCAGCCATTTTTGCTGGCTCAAGGCAGTCCGTTTCATAGTGGCCTCTCTTCTCTCAAGAATCCCAACGCGTGTTGGCCACTGGTATCGTTGACTTGGGCGCATCGCTGATTCCCCTCAGACGCGCTGTCTGGAGCAATGCCCGTCGCACCGGCTGCGACGCCCGAGACGTGGAAGGCGCTCGGCATCGTTGGCTTCGTGTTCCCGCTCCACATTATTTGCGGGCTGCTGTCAATCCCGTTTGTAGGCTGCAAATTGTACCAAGGCTCGTTGGGCGCATTTCTTTTTGTTTGCGCATACCTGCCATTTTACCTGTACCCAGCGCATCACAAGTTCCCCGGCTGGAAGGGTTTCGAGGCGGTCTGGCGCTTCATGGATTACAGCGCGACGTGCGTCTCGTATTTTGGCCAGTTCGAGGTGCACAACCCGCACCGCGTGGACCCCGACGCCCAGTATTTCTGCGCATGCCACCCACACGGGACCGTCATCTTTCAGCGCACCTTTTGGCGTTCGGATCAGTTGCGACGTCACCTACGGCGCGATTGGCGCATGCTCGGGGCGTCGATCATTTTTTGGATCCCGATCGTTCGCGAGTTGAGTCTGTGGTTTGGTGCCGTCGACGCTGGCCGCGCGATGTGCGAGCGGCTGCTGCGTGCGGGTGTGAACGTGTGCGTGTGGCCAGGCGGGCTCGACGAAGCGAACAGCGTCGATGGGCCCACCACCGTCATCGTGCGCACGCGCACGGGGTTCGTCCGTCTAGCAGTGAAGCACGGCGTGACCGTGTTGCCCGTCTTCGTGTTCGGCGAATTGGACGCCGTCAGCGCCATCCAGCCGTTGCCCAAGACCATCGCCGACTTCTGCAAGCGAAAGCTGCGCTTCTCGACCACGATGTTCATTGGCCGCTGGAAGACTTTTGTGCCGCGTCGCGTGCCCTTCCACATGGTCATCGGCAAGCCGTGCGCCGTGACAAAAATGGATCCCTGCGAGAACGGTTTCAGTGCCGAGGTCGAGCGTGTGGCCGCTGCGTACAAGGAGGAGATCCGTGCGACGTACGAGCGCCACCGCGCGCAGTTCGGTTACGAGGAACGCGCTCTGGTCTTTGTGGAGGACGCGAGGAAATCTGAATAGGCGTGAACGTCCAGGGAGTGCGCTGCTTGCGCGGGCGGTGGATGCGCGATCTCCCCCAGAGGATGAGAGGGCGGGGTGCCTCGGGATGAAAGGGCGGGATGCCCTCCCCAGACATCCTGGACTCGGTCATTGTTAGAGTCGCCTCGACGTGTCTTCGGATGTCTCTTCACATCCAGCCCTGTTTGAGCGGACCGTGCAATTCTATAACTGCCATGCCAGTGCCTGACAGCCCGAGCGCGCCGACTGCAGGCGCTGGCTGGCGGGATCCCAGCTTGGGGCTATTATATGAGCCAGTGCATGTTGTGCTTACAGGTTACGGGCATGAGGTATGAGAGGAGGTGTAAGGGGAGGAGGAAGAGGAGCGGTGAGCGCCCCGTTTGTGTTACAAGCCGCGCGCGACATCGTTTTTGCTCGACATGCTCTCTGGCCACGAACGCCCGTCGGGAGGACACGTAAAGAGAGAGAGAGAGAGAGAGAGAAAGAGAGAGAGAGAGATAGACAAGAGAGTGAGAGAAACGCAGAGCGAGTGAGAGAGAGAGGGAGAGAACTCGAGCAGGACCAGGAAAGCCACACGGCTCGGGAGGGCCTGTGTTTCGTTTGTATGTTCAGTTCTTGGCGCCACCGGCTTGTGCCCAGTCCTGGACGGCGCAAGGTCAGGTGGCTGAGGGTGGCCGAACGCGCATGGCTAGGAACTACAGTTCGCCGTGCGCTGGCACAATCGCCGAACGCCCCCACCCTGGCGTCATGATCTGTTTTTCCCGAAGCTCGCGGGTGACAAACAAATTGGATGCCTCGAGCTCCTGCACCGAAGGGAGCGTGGACGTGAGGTCGGGGTTCAGTGCCTGTGTCTGAGGAGGAAGAAATCACACTGTCTCCCCCTCCTCTCATTGATCCATTCTTCCCCTCTGACGCCGCGATGTTTCATGACTTGGGTCCTCATGGCTGTTGTCCCAGTTCCCCCCAGGGCCAGGCATTCGTCCCAGATGGTTTTTCGGACTGCCTTGAAGGCCGAATGTTGTTCGCCCGAGGCCACACATACGGCGAAAGGGTGAGTCTTGATACCTTCACGACGCTTTGGGGCCTAGGGGTCCTCATCCTCTTGTCAATTGTCAGGAGAGGAAAAAACACACAGACACAAGTAATCCTCGATTCCCCCCAAAATATGCGAAAATATGGGAAGGGGGACGACAGAAACCCATAACATATGGGGAAATATGGGGAATCATTTCATTTGTGTGTATTTATCTGTGTGTCCTGGGGCCCCTTCAAATTGGTCTGTGCTTTTTTCAGCCCTCCCCGCGCCTCCCCAGTTCACGCTCCCCCCTCGCACGCCAGCCGGAGACCTCTCCGCCCCCTCCGCACCAGACCTGGAGGCCCAGTTCGGCCCAGAACAACCGACAAGCATCGGTCCTCCCGTCCCTCCTCCTCCTCCTCCTCCTCCTCCCCCTCCTCCTCCTCCTCCCCCTCCTCCCTCTCCTCCTCCTCCTCCTCGTCCTCCTCCTCCTCCTCCTCCTCCTCCTGCCCCTCCCCCCCCTCCCGCCAGCGTGCTGCGAGCCGCAGCGGGGTCACTGTTGAGCATCGATGCCCCGTCTTGTTATCTCTTGTTCGCCCCCTCGTTGTTCTGCCCGCGCTCCCTCCTGCATTTCCCGCGCCCTGCCACGTCGCTCGTCACCCCCCCGCACCCCCAGGGCCGGCTTCGGTGCCGTCCACTCGATCCGACGTCGCGCTCGGCTGGTCCAGTCCGATTCGATTCCAGTCTTCCGGCGATCCGATGCGGCACGATGTTCGCATAGAGATGCTGTGCACTCTGGCGCAGTCGGTTCTCCTGCGAGGCCGTGGCTACGGATTTGTTTCCCGCCCGCCATGACCCCCCCCCCCGGCAGGTGCAGCAGTTCTGCAGAAGGTTTGGTCTCGACCGCGGAGCGACGACGAAACTGACGGAGGCTGTCGGCGGCCCGACCTCCTGCCGCCTGCTCTGGGGAGGGGAGAAGGGCTAGCAACGGGAGGGGCAGGAGGAGGAGAACAAGGACGAAGGGGGATGCAGATGGAAGTCTTGTCTTGCTGGCTTGCCAGGTAAGTGGTCTTGTAGTGGTGCTCAGGTCGCCGATCTTCGTAGACCTCTGCGAGCCTCCATCGATCACTCGAATCCTGCATCTTAGAAGACTGAAGAACGGGTTTTCCTTGTCAAAGAAGACTGGACCGTCTTACACTAATATAGGATTATGATGCGGCGTGTTCAAATTATAGGTATGGTGGCCCGCAGTTGTCATGAGGTACTGTCGTCGTTAGCGAGAGCTAACAAAGCCAGAAGGAGGAGGTGAAGGGTCAATCTCCGGAGGGGACTTGACCATATCCATAACCTGGGGGGCCGGTTTTCCTTGACCCCTAAGGGGGGGGATGTGGACATATTTCAGGTACACGTGGCCCAGCTACGCCCATATGCACCACCCCATGGGGTTCCTGGGGTCCTTGGGCATCGCTTCCCCAGGCGGTGGATGTGGATTAACCCCTGAGAGAGATGGGAGGAGGGAGGAGCGGCATTTGCCCAACGCTCGCTGGAAGTAAGCATTTCTGGAGCCCCAGACTGCAACTCACCCGCGGCGCCGTCTTGTTTCAACAGTCGAACACTGCTCTTTATTCCTTCCCCCGGGGGGTGGGCAGACACCCCATCTGTTTCAACGCTATCCTGCCTCATGCTTCTGCCCACTCCTTGCAAACGGTTGCCAGCGGTGGGAACGGCTGTCTGAAGCAGCGGGGAGCAGCGGGCACGAGGGAGCGGGGAAGATGGCGAGGAGGAGGAAGAGGAGGAGGAGGAGGAGGAGGAGGAGGAGAAGGAGGAGGAGGACGGGGGGAGCGGAGGTGGAGATCGAGGACGAGCTGTAGGATACGGGGTGGAGGAATGTGTGGAGCAGGAGGCGCAGGCTGGGGAGCGGGGAAGAGTGGAAGGAATCGACGAATGAAGGAGCGGTGGTGCATGCGCAGAGGGAAGCGGAGGCGCAGCAGCAGGAGGGGGCACTCGACAGGGGCGAGGAGGAGCAGGAAACGAAGGAGTTGGAGGATAAGACGCTACGAGGGGTCCGCCAAGTCCTCAGGCGGCAGAGGAGAGAGGGGCAGGGGACAAGCCAGGTGCGCTCGCGCGATATCCGAGAAACGATCTCTGCCGCACAGCCCTTCCCGTGTTGCGGGGTGTTGTTTTCTACCCGCCAGTTGAAGTATCGTACATAAAAAACCGATGCCAACAAATAACCCCGTCGCGTGATGTGTAAATCAGAACGGGAGGTTTTGATGTGGAGGAGGTTTTGGCGAATGGACAATCGGATGAGCAGACTGAAAGCCAGGGTAATGAGGAAGGGAGATGAACAGCAGCAGCAGAAGCAGGAGGCGCAGAAGGAGCAGGAGCACCATGGGAAAGCGGAGGAGGAAAAGGATGTGGAGGGCAACGACGAGGACCGAATCGGATTCGGCAATGTGGCCCGCGCGCGCTGGGGAGAGAGCGTGCACCTTGGTTGCGGAAGCAAGGGGCCGACCCTGAAATGCTGCCACCGTTGCCGTGGGATCACCCTCTGAAGAAGCGTAGATCACGCAGGCCTAGCATCAAGATACATATATATATATATATATATATATAGATATATATATATATATATAGATATATATATATATATAGATATACGCTCCAGAGCGTTTCGGAACGCCCTGAAACGGCTGCGGCTCCCGACGCACCCTCTGATCCCGCCGATTCTCAGCGAGTCCCGACTTCTAGCGGTCCGAGTGTGTCTCGACTCTGGTTTCGTCGTACTTGAATGGCGGCCAAAGTTGCAGTGGGATCACCATTTCAAGAAGCGTAAATATATGATTGACGGAAGCCACGGGGCGATTCTGAAACGCGGCCAACGTTGTAGCGGCCAACGCTGCAACAGAAGGATCGACAACAGTCTGGTCGGAACGCAGAACAACGTGAACATGGGAAGTCCGGCGTATGAACGCAATGCATGTGAAAGGCGGCCCCCGCACTGGATAGTATCAGGACAGAGCGGACGTATCATTCAGATCAACTTAGTTGCGCTCTCGTCACACTTTGTTCGCGCTTCTCGCAGTCGTCAGTCCAAGTGTCGAGTGAGACCCTGACCCTTCAGTCATCATGTGCAGCGCGAGGAGGGCCAGGAACGTGGCGAATGGATGGAGGAGGGGGGCGTGGAGTACCAGGGGGAGGGGCACATGATAATATAGATGATGCCAAACAGTAGGCAGGTCAAGCGAGAAACTGGCTTGCGAACAACTGCGACACAGAAGGTCATTGTCCCCCGACTGAGCCTTTTGTGCACTTCGGGAAGTTTGAGGATCGACGACAAACGTGTCCCTAGATACCTTTCGGCAGGATCTGTTGTCGCACGTGTCTGCTCAAGAGGACGACCAGGAGACTGGAGACTGTAAAAAAAGATGCCATCCGAACAAACAGATCTAGGAACGGTGAGAAGATCACGTCGGCCGTGACTCGCTACCCACCCAAGACGACTTGGTGCATAGGGTGGCAGGGTCCCCTGAAGCCTTCACCGTTATTTCAGGTTCTTCGGCCAGGATAACCACTACCAATCCTGCCGAATCGAGTGGCATGCGCAACTGAACTGTACGAAAGAGACTAGCCAAGGGCGGGTGGACACAATGTTCCATGAGGTTTACCGGCCACGCGACCCCACCTCCCGACCAAGTGCGCAATCCCCGTGCCAGTACTCTAAACCTCCTAGATGGGGTCGGAGTAGATGGGGTCGGAGAGTCGCGCCGCATCGTCGATGCATCGGCGATGCATCAGCGGTGCGGCTCGATGTGGGGCCCAATTTTCTCCACGCCGACGTCGCCGATGCATCGCCGACGTCGCCAGTGCATGGCCGATGCATCGCCGATGCATTGCCGATGCGGCGAGATCCTCCGACCCCATCTACTCGGACCCCATCTAGGAGGCCTCTAAGTACCCATCTCCAGGGCATGGGCGCAGCTGAGGCGCCTCATGCGGACAAGCAAAGTGCTTGCCGCTGGTTCCGAGCATGGGACCTTGTTGCCTCTCCTTGCCTGCTGCAGCGGGCAGCCTTGATAATATGCCCTGTACGTGAGGACTGAGTAACAGGATAAGGTACCCAGCGCCCACGCGTGGGGCAAGAGGACGATCAGGAGAAGGAGGAGGAGGAGGAGGAGGTCCCTCCCTTACAGGCCTCCAGGTGCGTGTGCGGTTCCTTACGTCCTCGCCATTCTGTCGTTTCTTCTTCTTCTCGCTTCGCCTCGTGTGTTTTTTGTTGCCCACCCCGCCGGCGCTCCAGTGGAGGGGTTCGAGTG